CTGTGTGCTGCTGCGTTCAACGCTGAGCGGGGCTAGGTGGCGGGCGCCAAGCATGCCCAGGAAGGTACGTGAGGCCGATGGGTCCCCTCCCCTACAAACATCGGCAAACTCTGCTCAACGCTGAGCGGGGGATCCGGTGGTTTATCTCTAGGTGGCGGGCGCCAAACATGCTGAGGAAGGTACATGAGGTCGATGGGGATTGAGCCCACGACCTCCTGAATGCCACTTGGGAGCCTTACCAACTGAGATAGTCCCTGATTTTCAGTTGGTGGCAGCATGCTATTTTCCCCCAGGTAGCTATGCTTGCAGGGGTCCCCTGTACAGGCCTACGAACATCAGCGAACTCTGCTCAACGCTGAGCGGGGGATCCGGTGGTTTATCTCTAGGTGGCGGGCGCCAAACATGCCGAGGAAGGTACATGAGGTCGATGGGGATTGAGCCCACGACCTCCTGAATGCCACTTGGGAGCCTTACCAACTGAGATAGGCCGTCAGTAGTCCCTGATTTTCAGTTGGTGGCAGCATGCTATTTTCCCCCAGGTAGCTGTGCTTGCAGGGGTCCCCTGTACAGGCTTACGAGTAGTGGTAGGTAGGTAGTCAAAAGTGAAATTGAGAGAAGAATATAGCCTGATCTTATTCAGCAGTTACATGCGTGTTCCATTCATCCACAAGTAGGGTGCTTGGTGGGGATTTCGGGACGTGCGAGTCGGCAGATGGCCGGATACCGAATCGTAGGCCGGGGACCCGGTCCACCTCGCGCTCGTTTTCGGTTTCTGGCCGTAGACTGTGGAGATCGACGGCGAGAAATGGAAAAAGTGCGCAAGTGGGAGCCGGCCCCATGTCCCTGCAGCGGCCGGTTTGGACCGTACTAAGGGCAGACCACGCTCCTTAGCCCAGCGGTCGGTCTGAAGGTAGTCCTGTGCTTGAATTGAGAAGGCGCCTCCTCTGTCATTGCTCAATTTTCTCAACCGGGCAGAGGGGCGGGGAGTGACCGTGGTGGGAGAAAGCGGACCACTTTTTCATCGGCCGGGAAAAGAGGGGGGAGGAAGCGGACCACGTTTTCGTCAACCGGGAATAGCGGCGGGAGAGACCATGGCGGGGATCGCAAAAAGGATTGCCCGTTTACAGGAACTGGGGTTATCGGAGGGTGGGCGCCCGTTGTATCTTCCCGGCGAAGTCGAGCAACAGTTGTTTGATAGTGTAGACTTTGAATTGGAGGATCGGAAAGGATCGGAGAACGATGGAAGCACTCTGAAGGGGGGGCTTCTGTACCTGACAACTCATCGGATTATTTGGGTAGGGTCCTCGGAGGGCGGAAGGGCAAACCAGGTGCCCTCGTTTTCTTCGCCTTCGACTTCGTCGTCCCCATTTTCAGGTGCAGTGGGTAATTACGGAAGGAGCACTCACGTAGGTAGCAGTGGCAGTGGCAGTGGCAGCGGCAGCGGCAGCGGCGGCTATGGAGGCAGGAATCGAGCCTTCGCTATCCCCTTATCTTCCGTCGAAGATATCAACACGTTTAAGAGGAGCATTATGGGCACGCCACGTGTACGAATACGGTTATCAGTCGGGGCAGATGACCATTTTATACCCTTTGACCGTGCAATTGATGGCCATGAAGTCGATGTCGTGGCTGTGTTTCGCGCCAAGCCGGGATATGATCGCTTCATCTCCAAAGCAGCGGAGGTGCTGCGCGCCAAGTCATGGAACGTCGCTTCTCAATCGTCTCAGGCAAAGCCCTTGGGCCCCATTTCTGGGGGAACCGTAGTTCCGGAGGCGGGACCGGAACAAAGCAACCATCAGCCCGCGGAGACCCCGATTACAGTCTACAGACGGTCAGATCCTTCTCTGGCTGGAGTTGGGGGGCTTCTGAGGAAGGAGGAAAATATGCTGAAGGAGACAGATAGAAATCTGCAGGAGGCGTTTACCGATCTCAATGCCTTGATGGTACGTTCCCTTTGGGCACTGCTGGTCTTTTCCCTCAATCCAATCCTTCCGCGTCCTCTTCCCTCCCTTTCTCCCTCTCTCGGTTCCTCCTAACCCCTTCATAGACTCATCCGGCTTTATCTTGCTTGCGTAGAGTGTAAACGTCATGAGCAGTGATCAGGTCATACTATGTTCAGTGGAAAATTCTAGGCAGTGATCAGGTCATACGATGGTGATGGAGTTATTCTGTGTGTGTGTGTGTGTGTGTGTGTGTGTGTGTGTGTGTGTGTGTGTGTGTGTGTGTGTGTGTGTGTGTGTG